GACTCCCCCCACCGTACCCCAGAGCTTCAGATGGACTCCGTGGGTGACCTCTGCACGCAGACGGCGCCCCGTCCGGCCTGGCACGGGCCGCCAGTGTGCCAGGTGCTGGTGCAATGACGTTCAGTGCCCTGGCACACGGAGGGATTGGTGATCTGCTGACTGCAGTCTCTGATCACCTCCCGTGCAGTGAGGATAGGTTAACAAGGGCACCTCCAGGAGCTGGGGATCCTTGCCCCTCCAGCACCCTCACACACGGGCATGGCATTAACTCGCCAGCACTGGCACACCCAGAGGGCATCTCAGGGGGGTGAACGGGTCTGATCCTGCCAGCTTCCCTCACCCAAGCCGTCCCCCTCTGGCGTGAGTGCGAGGAGAATCAGGCCGAATGTGTGTCCAGGTGCAGGACTGGGGCCCTGTTTCTGCCCTGTGGGCTGGATTCCACCTTCCTTCCCTGTGTATCACTAGAGAGCAGGGTAGGGTGTGGCCCAGCGAGTGAAACCATCACCAGCCCAGGCTACCATCCTGGCAGGGCTCCGGTCAGCGTGTTCTGTTCTGGGGCCTGCAAAGGGACCAGACACAAAACTATACCCCCAGTCGCACCTCCGCTTGTTCCACGTCGGACTCCTCTTTTGAACAACGGCGGGACTCATCTGTGAAAGGTCCCTGCGTCAGCCAGGCGGAGGGAGCAGGGACGGATGGAGACAACGCCCCCGCAGGACTTTCCCGGCCTGAACTTCTGCGGGAAAACCCAGGGCAGCCGGGGGTGGGAGGAGGGGTGGTTAATGTAGAATTTTTCAAGGCAAACGCATTGCTTGTTCTCCCCTGCATAGCAATGGAATCCCTCAAACCGGACACTGTTCGGAGGAGGGTTCTATGTTTCAGAGCTCCAGGAATTCTAAGTGGGGTGCAGTCTAGAACCCGCCGAGTTCGAACCCTACCCCGTGAGCATGTCGCTTCATCCCAGATCCATGTGCAGGCCTAGGGGACCCAGCCTTCTCGCACCCCACGTGAGCCCGTGGCGGCTACATTCTAGAACCCGGCTCGATTCTAATGGGTTCTAAATTCTAGAACACGCAGGATAGGCTGGCCGGGGGTGGGGGGGTTTGCAGGCTAGCGCTCCCTTAGATCACAAGCCCTTTGGGGCAGGGACGCTGTGTG